ACCGCTGCTCCTTAGAGAATGCAGCCTGCCTTGGCACGAATGATCAGGCCCGACCTCCTCTTCTAATCTGATTTCCTGCTGTCTCATGCCTGCCCTTGCCACACACCCTTTATTCAGGTGGTGCCTGACTTTGTTCCAGCTGCTCATTCAGACTGGAATGTCTTTCTGCTGGTTTTTTATAAAGTATACAGGGCTTCACTTTGCTACACTCGTGCTCCAGGTCAAGCCAGAAGGCCCTGGTCTCCATTTGGTAGTTACCAAACCCTGCTCCAAACGGTCCTGGCAGTGATGTTCACCTCGGAGGTTAGGCTCCATCTCTCATGGCCACACCATGTCAGTCAGCTATACTTTGTGATCTGTTGGAAAGTGAATGTTCTTAAACGAAAAATTGGAGCTGAGTGAGAAGACCCCAGTGGGCCCAGGAATCCAAGAAAGAGCTGGCACGCCTGCTTGTTTCTCTGGCTAGGGTACCTCCTCTCTGCAGGCAGGTTGTTCTGTCATCTCTCCAGCTCTAAGCAGACTGGGTAGTTCCTCCCTGCAGCTGGTCATCATGCAGACTCTTCTGGTCTGGCTGAGTCTGGGGCTTTTTATCCGCCTCAGAGGGGAGGAAGTACATGCTGATTGGTCCATGGGCAGCCATGAGCCAGCTGGAAAAAGTACAAGTTCCCATGCCAGTGGGTGGGACCAGTAGCCCAGCCCCCAGGCTTCAGGCCTTCTCTGGCTTGAAGGTGGGGCTGCACCCAGGACCTGGCCCCTTCTACCCAGGAACCTGTCTGTCTCTTGCCACCATTCATGGCACCCAGGCTGTTTGTGCCAAGGAGTGCCTGCAGGTGAACATCGAGCTGCCCTCAGCCCCTCCTGGCCTCTTCCCCATGCTCATTGGTGCCCAAAGTCCGAAGGGGGCCAAGGTGGCAGGGGGCTGGTGTGTCAGCGCTGCCCTGAGCCTTTACACACACGGCCAGGTTGCAACAGCACCCAGGCTTGGCCTCAACTTTGCTTTGCGATCTCATCAAGTGCTGACAGTGGAGAGAAGCCAGGCAGCAGGACCAGGCACTTCTGAGCCTGCAGTAGCAAGAACGGGCCTTCCTGGGCCCCCAAGACTGCAGAGACGCCTGGGTCCACAGCTGCACCCTGGGAGGCTGCAGCTGCGTCTGGGAGGGTGGGGCTCCTGCCTCCCAGGAGCACAGGTGTGCCTGCGTTGCAGCCCTGGCTTGGGTGGCTGCAATTGTGCCTAGGGAGCTCCCACTCCACCAACTTAGAAGGGGCGGGGTTCCCATTTGTCCCCAGCTCCCGCTAGCTCTGTGGAGCACGCAGTCACAGCTGCACCTCCTTTTTGCATTTTTCCCCCACGGAGTCGGGGGCCGCAGCGCCGGCAAGGTCCAAGTTGCACGGCAACACCGGCCAACCTCACACTAATGAACGTGAAGCTCCTGGGGCTGGCCCTACAAGTCCCAGCTGCACCGTTGGCTAGGTGCTCACTCGCAGGCTTCTGGGATGCGGCAGGGAGCAAGGTTGAGGCTGCAGCAGAGGCTGTGGGCTTGGGAGCAGATCCTGCCTGGCCATTTGAGGGCGAGGGTGGTGCAGTCAGCTGCCTCAGGGATGCAGGGCACAGGTAACCCACCACTGCCACCGCTGCTACCACACCCGCTTCTGCTGCCCCACTTGTGCCTCTCCGCTGCAGCCAGCGTGATGACAGCATCTGTCCCAGACTGGCCGCCGCTGCCATCAAAACTACTGGACTAATCATCTTGCCTCAGCCTCCTGAATAGGTGGAACTACAGGAATATGCCACCACACCAATTTAAAAAATGTTTTTTAGTGATGGTGTCTATGTTGCCCAGGCTGGTCGTGAACTCCAGGCCTCAAGAGATATATTCCCACAGTGCTAGGATTATAGGTGTGAGCACTGCACATAGCCGGGGATTCTGAAAATACATGGAAACTGCCATTTTCTCACCCTTTGGATTTCTGCAATTAGGAATTTCTGTTTTACTTGCTCACCATTTCCTTTAGAGAATGGTTGCTTTTCTGTCCTGGGGCTTCAAAGTGAGAAAATTTCAAAAGGGATCCAAAAAATTCCTTTGATCCCATAACTCTGCTAAGAACTTAACTAACAAGGCATGGAGCAATGGCTTATGCCTGTAATCCCAACACTTTGGAACGCTGAGGTGCCAAGAATTGCTTAAGCCCAGGAGATTAAGGCCAGCCTTGTCTCTACTAAAATTCAAAAACATTAGCCAGGCATGGTAGTGCATGCCTGTAGTCTCAGCTACTCCCAGGGGCTGAAGCAGGAGCATCTCCTGAACCTGGAAGGTGGAGGTGCAGTGAGCTACGACCATGCCACTGCACTCCAGCCTGAGTGACAGAGCAAGACCCTGTCTCAAAATAAATAAATACATATAAACAATTTAACCAACCAAAATACTCACACATGTACACAAAGACCCTGCTCCTGCAGACTGGCTTCCTGTTTCCTGAACACACCAGGTGCATTCCCACTGAGGGCTTTGCCTGCACTTACCTTCTAACCACCTTCTGCTGTAAATGTACTCAGGACACCTGTGGTTAATTGGCCACCTTCTCACTTAGAATGTAAAATACGAAAACAGATATTTGTTTTGTTCAATGATTTATCTCAAACACAATGAACAGACCTGCCACACAGATATTGAGTAAGCATTTGTTAAATTGACACTCAAAAGTATTTCTTGCAGAATTATTGAAAACAAGAGATTAGAAATGACCTAATTGACTAAATGAATACAGCGCTAGCACAAAGATGTGAAAAAGACTGAGGTAGAAAAATGTTCAATGATCTCCAAGATACATGGTGAAGTAGAGTGTGTTTAGCAGGCTACTACTGTATAAAAAGGAGAGAAAAAAAGTCATGTGTGCAAGGATATAAACCAGGCGTCCCCAAACTGCGGCCCCCTGAGGCCATTTATCCGGCCCCCCCGCTGCACCTCAGGAAGCGGCACCTCTTTCATTGGTGGTCAGTGAGAGGAGCCCAGCATGTGGCGGCCCTCCAACGGTCTGAGGGACAGTGAACTGGCCCCCTGTGTAAAAAGTTTGGGGACGCGTGATACAGTCTTTCTGGACCAATGCAAACTGGGGCCGGGAGGGAACCTTGCCTCATTTACATTGCATACCCATATGTTACATACCCATTACATACACGTGCCTGTGTTGCTGTTCTGTGCTAAGAAATCACTTTAAAAAGGAGGGAAGAGAGGAAGAAAAAATTTAAAAAGCGGGGGGAGAGCCAAGGACCATTTGTCAGTCTGCAATCCTCCTAAAGTGTGACAGTGGACTTGGGGGCGGAGGTGGGGCACGTGGGGGAAGAATCCGACCACCACATGTGTGCCTTTGATGAGCTTTCAAAACAGGTAACAGCCAACTGTCCACGAAACAAAGGACTCGGCCACGACCATGGACAAGGCGGCACCGGGCCTTCGGAATAACGTAAACAGAGTCACCCGAAGCCACGAGAGTGCGCGAACACGGGAGGAGGAAAGCGGGCTGCGACACAAGAGTAACCTGGCGGGGCCTTAGGCCAGTCGCACACAAGACGTTCCAAGACCCCCATCAGCGGCAACTCAGGGCCCCTCCCGGGTTCGGAGGTCACTGCAACTTCTGGGAGAGCCTACTCACCCCTTGCAGCGGCCGGGAATTCTCGTAACTCCTTCCGCACGGCTTCCAAAGCCGCCTCCACCATCGCTGCGCAAGCGCCGACGCCGGCGCGAAACCCCGCCTCTCCCTGACGCCCTCGCCGCAGGCCCCGCCCCCCGGGGCATCCACCCCGCCCCCAGGCGCACACCCGGTTACGCCGCCGAAGCGGTGGAGTGAGCAGCTGCGCCCGCCTCCGCCTGCTGCACGGGCCAACATCCCACGATTAACAAACGATTGTGTTTATTGATAAGTTCATACATCAGTACAAACGGGCACGTTAAAAACAGCCGCCTCCGGTGCAGCCGGGTAGGAGGCAAGAAGCGCCGCGACTTGGACAAAGTAGAAAAGTTATAAATAAGGGGTTTTTTAAACTGGGCAGGGGCGACTCTGGAGTGGGGCGGCGGTTACCGGTGGCCTCAGACATGCAGAAAGGGACGGGGCGCCAGCCGGGCCACGCGGCCTCCCCACCCACCCACAAGGGTCAGAGGGCAGGAAAGGGGCGGCCACGTTCTCACAAACCTCAGGCGGAGAGTAGCTCCCTCCTCGAGGAGGACCTGGCCCAGAGAGCGAACCTGAGTCCCACCTGCGGTGGGCTGCGGCCAGTGTGCGGGGTGGGGGCGCAGCAGGTACGGGCCCGCCGCCAGCTGCGGCAGTTCCCGGGCCACGCGGTGGTAGAGGAGTGGGGGAAGGCCAGTTTTGGAGCAGCTCAGACGCACTCAGGCTGATGCCCCGCAGCTGCGCACCCTTTGGAACCCACTTCCTTGTTAAGCCTCTGCCTAGGCGCAGCAGCGCAGGTGAAGGGGCTGTCGTGGCCTGGAGCTGTGGCAAAGCTGTCCTGACTTACCTGGATTACAGGGGAGCAGTAGGGCTCAGACTCCTTCCTCACCTCTTCAACTGCCTCATGACTTGGTCCTACTCTACCTCCTACAGTGCCCTATTTTCTTCCCCTCACCCCTAACTACTGCCCTTTTAAATTTTAACCTATCCCCTCACCTCTGCCACTTACCTGTCCCACCGACCACTTTCCAGTGTCTCCTTTGGCCCCTGCACCTCCCTCAACTCAAAACGCCAGTATCCAGCACACCCGTGGGTGCCCAGCACTGCCTTTGAGGAGGCTCCTTCTACCTAAACCAGGTGTCCTATGGGCTATCTCCTATCAGCTAGGCTGTGGACACCAAGAATCCAGAATCTGGGTTCACTCAGTGTGTTCCACCCTTTTCTGTCCCCTGATAGGTGTTCCCCATAAGCCAGGGTGGTGAGGCTGAGGCAGGATGTGAGGAAACCAGGCACAGAGCAGCCAACCAGATGCTCTAGCGACACTCAACTGTGTGTGTGTGTGTATGCATGCATGTGATCTCATCTGCATGCTGTGCAGGGGTGTGTGCGCGTGTGCGTGATCTCATCTGTGGCCGAGGTCCTCAGGAGGTGGGCCAGCGCCCTGTAAACGAGGGACATGCCAACACAGGCTTCTGACTGAGCGTCACTCAGGATGCAGGGAGAAGTTGACCTCTGGGCTCCAGCAGGTGGCTGGGGTCCAGGGCTGGAGGACAGGGAAGGACAAGGGGCTGAGGAAAGGAGGCCAGAGCTTCATGTTGGCCCAGCTGAGGGCTTACTGTCCCGCAGCAATGTCTCACAGCTGGCTCCAGTTCTGGCCAGGAGAGAAAGGGGTCACAGGGAGAGACAATGCTGGGCCCCTCTTGGAGGGAGAATGGGAGTGGAATGTAGGGGCTCAGGTTCTAATACCAACTCAAGTCTCCTGGTGGCTGGGGACACCCTGGAGGGCCAGATGGCCCTGCCTTTCTTAGCTGCCAGGTATTGGGGAAAACCACCCTGCTCTGGCACCCAGGGGAGTGCAGCTGGTGTGAGAGGGAAAGTGGAGGTAGAGGTGAAGGCCCCCAGTTGGCTGAAGGACACTGAATACCACATGACCTGTCACCTCGACCCCAGAGTACCCTGTGTATGCTCCACCCCAGGGAGCCGATCCCTGCAGTAATTTCAAATGGCTTCTAAGAGAGGGCCAGCCCTTCCCAGATTCCTAGATGGGGCAGGCTGCCCTCTTAACCCTCACAGCACCAAGATGACAAAGACCCAAGACCCGTCCCTGCCACTGGAGGGGCTGTGGAGGCAGGAGTTCCAAGGAAGTGAGGCAACAGTCAGGGAAATAAATTAATAAATACAGGCGCCCCACGAGGAGTGGCTGGGAAGGCTGCTTCGCCTCTCAACACTGCTCCCTGCTTTCCACTTCAAGCAGCCCCGCAGGTTTTGGTGAGTGGCAGAGGGTCTGCAGTTTGGAATGGCTGGGGCATTCATTCACTTGGGGCAGACTTCTGAATCTCAGAGTCTGCGTTCCATGCGCCGCTCCACGGCTCGAAGCAGCAGTTCCGAGTATTGCTCCAGCAGGGCCTGTGTCTGCTCAGCTCCCACAGCCCCAGGGCTGCTGCCTGGGCTGGACAGTGCTACCCCAGCCAGGGCTTCCAGCTCCTGTCGCACTGAAGAGAAGGTGTCTCTGAGGAGCTGGGCGATCCGACTCTGCTCTGCTGAGGGCATCTTGCAGCCAGCCACCTGAAACAGGACCCCGGGAAGTGAGGTGGAGGCACAAATGGGAGGGGCCCCACCTGGGTCCAGCCTGCCTTAGAAGGGACTATCTGGGAATTTTACCTACCAAGATCGTCATGTATGACAAGGGGACATGGGATGCAGGCAGACTCTGGGGGTGACCCCCAAGGAGAATCCCATCGGATTACAGAACCGTCTACATCTTGTTAGCAACTCCTATGACAACTCAGGCCGAATCAACTTTCTCTGTCAAAGTTTAGCCCTCCTGGACTACTCCCTATGTCTCAGGAGGCCAAAGAATTTGTGGGTATAAAAAAGGATGCCATTAATAATTACACTGGGACAATGGCATAAACGGATTGTCCTGAGCCAACTAGATGTGATCTCTCCATGCCTCACCTCCTGAGGGAAGTCTCCAGCTCTTAACCAGAAATGAGCGCAGATGCCCGGTTCAAGAGGCTAGCCTGGCCTCTAACCCCCTCACCTATGCTGCCCATGATGTTCTTGGGTGTTCCATCCACTGTGTCCGCACAAGAGCCTTAGCATACTGTTCTGGACATGACTGTCCAAACACCCAGCACCTCTGACGTGCTCACCCGCCTGCTGGGGGGTGCCGAATACCCACCGAGTGGTAGAGCCGCACGGCCTGATGCACGCTGCCTCGGAGCTCTGCCACCAGCTGCTCACACTGCTCCAGGCTCACTGCTGGTTCTGAAAGAGACGGATACAGCTCAGTGAGGCCCAGCTTGCAGCCCTTTTAGGCCTCCCCACCCAAGACACTCGGAGCAGGAGAGACCTAGCCCTCAGCAGCACACCCCCGACTTGCCCTCAGTCCCTTCCTCTTGCCTTCTCTTCCAACGGCCTCCCCAACACCACACAAACAAAGTCCAGAGGACCACACAAACAAGGCCAGCCCCAAGTTCAGAAGGCACTGGATGGGCAAGTGGGTCACAAGGAAATCATGAAGGTTAGCAGGAGGGTCTCACCATCAGGGGTGTGACTTATGGACCTGAGACAGGAGCAGACAGGACGAGAAACACCAGAAGCTGAACGCACAGAAATGGGTGGAGCCAGAGAGCGGCCGCCGGAGACGGGACAGAGAGGATGGGGCAGGAGATGAGAGTTAGGGAGCTGTGCACACCTGAGTCCTGGCTCAGGGCTGCCCCTGGCTTGGCGCAGTCCGTGGGGTTGAGAGTCTTCTCAGGGGGTGGGGGCTGCAAGTTTTCAGGGCCTCGGAGGCGGCTGCTGACTGGCAGTTGCTGGGCACAGGGGTTGCTGGGCCCAGGATGAGCCTGGCAGTCTGTCCTAGGCTTGGGAGTGGTGCCCTCCCCCAAACAGGCCCATCTCTCAGTTGTACTGTGAGCTTTTCCTAGGCCCACTGGGAAGCCAGGCTGTTCTGCCTCCCCAAGGACCCGGCCTTTGGTTACAGGCGAGAATGCAGCCAGGGTAGGACGGTCAGGCAGTGGTTTGGGGATGTCCAAAACCAGGTGAGCCCGGCTGGGCAGGGCCAGCTTGCTAAGTGGTGAGACTCGGATAGGGGCAGGAGCTTGAGGTTCAGCGACCAGGCTCAGGTTCTCCCCAACAGATATACTGCGGGATATCTTGGCCACAGAACTGGTGGTGGGGCTCTGGTAAGAGTGGGGCCGAGACAGGCGGCCATCAGCCAGGGGCAGGGAGCCCAGACCATCCTGAGCTTTGATCTCCCGAGAGAGCACTAGGCCTGGTGAAGGGGCCTGTAGACTGGCTTCATCTCTTTCTGCAAAGGACACAGAAGTATACACAGGTCAGGTGGTAAGAAAGGCATCCCAGGTACCAATGCCCAATACCTAACAGCTGCTGTTCCCCTCCACCTGCCCATTAAGCGACACCCAGTGGCCAGCACCGTGACACATCAGGGCTGCACCAGACCCTCCCTCCTCCAGCATGTACACCTGTTCCACACGCACTGCACCGTGGCACCAAGCCCAGCAAGCTCCTCACCCTGTGGCACCAGACTATGCACAGACTGGGCTTTCTGGAGTCCAGATAAGGGGCTGGCTGTGGCCACTCTCTTGGGTGCCCAGCTGCTGTCAGGGTTGAGACGGCATCGTGGCAACAGCACAGTGGCTGCCCGCTGGGGGCTGGGGTTGCCAGAGGACAGGTCTGCCTCCGGGGGTGCTCCAGGGGGATTGGCACCTTTGCCTCTCGGCTGCTCACCAGATGCCTGTGGCACCTGGGCTGGTCTCGACATCAGTGCCAGGCTTGAGGAAGACGGGGATGGTTCCCTACAGGGAGGAAATGTGGAAGAAGGCCCAGAGAAGGCTCAATGCTCCTCCCTGCCAAAATGGTGAGAAACTCATGGCACCAAGGCGCTAGGAGAGAAGGACAAGCACAAAGCCAGACAGGGCTGGGGCAAGACCGGTTAGCCCAGAACCAGGCGTGAAAACACCCCGGGCATCAAGAGACAGAACACTGGAGACGAGAGGGCAGCAGCACTGGGAGGCCAGGAGAGCCGGAGCTGCTGCTGTGTGGAGGGGGTCTCTGTACCTGAGTGGGTGGGTCTGCACTTTTAACAGGAATCGTGAAGAGATGCTCCGAGACTCTGACCTCTCTGGCACCTGCACTGGGGCCCCTACCAGGGTCAGAGAAATCATGAACTGGGGCAGAAACCAAGCCCTTGGCCCAGATTTTGCTTCCCTGAGAAGGAAAGCCCAGCCACTATCTATACCCTGGGACCTTCCTCTCAGGGAGGCAAGGATGGGAGACGGGCAAATTACAGGCACTAAATGCTGGCCCTCTGACCACACCTGGAGCAGCCCCATTGGCCAGAGTCTCAAAGTGCTGTTTCAGAAACTGCTCCTGGTCTGGGGTCCGGGGGCTTCCCTCCTGCAGCCCATAGGAGGCCGTGCCTCCCTCCTCTTCCTCCTCTTCTTCATCACCCTCAGCTGGCTCTTCAAGGTCTGAGGAGATGCCATCCACACTGAGGGGCTCTGTGCTCTCAGAGTCTGGTGTGGGGAGAAAAGAGAGGCATTGCACTGCACCCCTCTGTTGCCAGAGGCATCCCGCACCTCAGCCCATGAGCCCTCCCTCCCGGCTGAGCCTCACCTTCAGTGGGGTGCTCGGGGCTGGAAAGGCAGCTGCTGCTGTAATCCACAGAGCAGGCACTGTCGGGGCTGTGCTTTTCTGAGCTCCTGCTGCCTGGGTATACTCTTCCCAGAGTTCCCCGGGCTGGAGCCTGCACCTGGAACTCACTGCCAGGATTCCAGCAGGGAGAAGAAAAGGCAGTGAGCATGGGTGAGCAGCATCCCTGCTGGACTCCTGCCTGTGGTCAGGGTGAGGGATGAGGCAGTGGTGAGCTGGGAGGTAAGCCCTGAGGATCCTGGGGGCCAACCCTCCCCCAACTAAACAACGCTCAGAAAAAGGGGAACACAGGGGGCTGCACGGCCCACAAGGTCTGGCCAGGGCAAGATCCTTGCCTGGCATCCATGGTGGGGCTATCACTCGGCTCCGGGTAGACAATATCGTCTTCAGCGGGTGCAGGTTCCAGATCTTGGGGAAAGACCCCTTCCTCTTGTGACAATAATTGCATAATATGGGGGCAAGAACAGGGTTGGGAAGCCTGAGGCCAAGTGGGCTTTTCATTCTGGGAACACACAAAGGAACATGACTAGAGCAGCTGATGTGAGAAGGGGTGAGGGATGAGGCAGTGGTAGTTGGGGTGAAAGCCCTTAGTGACCCTCCCATTGGAGAAGAGGGGGAGGTGGGTAAGGATGTGGTGTGCACTAATTCTGGGAGAAGCAGAATACTCTAGCTCTGAGGACAGACACCAAGAAGCCAGGCTGGGCTCCGGTTGCTGATGGGAGCTTCTGGATGAACTACATGAACTCTGGGCTGCCAACCCTCCAGCTACCACTTCATACCAAGAGTCCTTCAAGAAACCCAGATCAGGGCAAAGGCCACTTTTGCCTCTCTATCCCAACTGCTCCCCTGCCTGCCCTAATGACCAAACCATACAGCCCAGCCAGCCCTATCCTGGCTTTGCAGTTCTGGTTAACCATGTGCCACAGAGGCAGACCAAGTAGAGCTGGACCAGGGCTCAGGTCCCAGCTGGTGGCAAAGGCTGCCTAAGGCCCCCTGGAGCTCTCTAGAGAGCTGAGAGAAAAAGCTGGCTCACCTGGCTAGCGAGTGAAGTCTCAAGGGCCTGCTGCCCATGCTTCCCAGGACCAGATGGGATCATGGCCAGCGAGTCCTGGCGAGGGCCCCGTGGGCTTGGGGCCAGTGTTTCCAGCTGCCGCAGGTCTAGCATGGATCGAACACTCAGCTCCACACCAGGCTGAGCCCAGCGCCCCCTTCTTTTGGGTCCTGGGTTGGCTGCAGGAGCTGGGTCCAGGAACCCCATGGTCTCCTGTGCCTGGTGGGAGGTAGTAACAACCACATGTTAAGATCAACAAATATCCATATATCCCTTACTGTGTGCCTGGCATGTTACATTTATTAGCTTACTTCATCCTCACATCAACCTTTTGAAAGGTTGAAATCGGCACTATTTGCTTTGTTTTGCTTTTGCTTTGAGACAGAGTCTTGCTCTGTCACCCAGAATGGAGTGCAATGGTGCAATCTTGGCTCACTGCAACCTCCGCCTCCCAGTTTTAAGCAATTCTCCTAGCTCAGCCTCTCAAGTACCTGGGACTACAGGCACCCGCCACCATGCCCAGCTCAGTTTTGTATTTTTAGTAGAAATGGCATTTCATCATGTTGACTAGGCTGGTCTCGAACTCCTGACCTTGTAATCCACCCACCTCAGCCTCCCAAAGTGCTGGGATTACAGGTGTGAGCCACGGTGCCCGGCCTGAAATAGGCACTATTATAATCCTTGTTTTTCAGATGAGAAGACTGAAGCACAGGCAGCTTAAGTGACCAGTCCGCATCCCACAGACAGTAAGTGGCCTGCAGGTTAGTCTGGCTCCAGAGTTCACGCTCTTAGCTGCATTCCACATCCTCTGGCACAGGACTCTCTAGTCTCAGCCTTCGCCTGGTGTCATGGACGCCTCAGAGCTGGGAGTCTCTAAAAGTCTCCCAGCTCTGAGGACAGCCCCAGCAGCAACCACTTACTACCAAGAGTCCTCCAAGAAACCCAGCCCAGGGCCAAGGCCACTTTTGCCTGTCTACACCAACCACTCATTTTGCCTCTCTCTACCCCAACTTCTCCAATGGCAGGGGGCCCCAAAGACCCTTCACAGCATGGAAGACTAACCCACAGCCCAGGCCTGAGACCCCTGAGCTGGTCAGGGTGCACTAGAGCCCCCACAGCGCCATCGCTTTGTGAAACTGTTGCTGACAATGGAAGGTCTTGGTGTTTGGGGACCTGCTCGGAACACCTTCACCCCACTCTGGCCACCCCACAGCAGTCGCTCAGTTACTGGTCCCCTCGTGGCCTTTTCCCTCTAACTATTCTGGAAGTTCTCCACTCACCTCCTAACAAGGGTCTTTAGAACTAGCTTCTCTAGATCTCTGCTCTCTGGATCCTTGGTTTCCTGCACTTTAGCTCTATTTGGTTTAGAGGCCCTTTGTCCATTCCCCCTGAAGCAGCAGTACCTCCCTAAGTGCTGACCGACCCCGTGCTCCACCCACCTCTTCTGGTCTCATCTGAAGGAAACACCTGGGCTCTCTTCATCCCACACCCAGGACTGGCCCAGTGCTTCAACTTTCCCTACAAAGCCTTCCTTGGACACAGGAGTGCAGCATGTGGGCAGCCCCCATGCCCCAATATTCTACCCGGCCCAGAGAACCCTGCTCTCACCTCCCCTTGCCTCCTGTAACCTTGGAAGAACATTTTAACAATGGCAACTCACCCGACTCATCTCCCAGTGGGACAGACTTCGGGGCAATGCTGGGTTGGGGACAGAGGCTAGAAAGAAATAGTAGGCAGTCAGAGGGAGTGTCTCCTGCCCACCCACCCCTGGAGCCCTGGCCCCATCAGCTCATACCATGTGACCACAATGATGCCTCAGTTTCCTCAGCTCACACTGCTCTCCCCCGACAGTCCCAGAAAAAGCATATCTAGCCATTATACCAACTAGGGTCTGTCTGGCCCTGCACCCAACTGCCACAGACCCAGCTCCTTCTTGGTACTCTTGGCAAGGACGGGCAGTGCTGGAAGTTCTTCTTCAGTGCCCTCATCTTCTCCCTCCTTGTCACTGTCTGATGAGAGAGCCGGTCCAGGAGAGACCATTGATGGGGCCTGGTGCCTGAGTCTGAGACAAGGAAGGGCATGGGGAGACAGAATCAACAGGGAGCGAGGAGACTCAACGCGGGGAGAGGCGAGCTCATGGATCCTTATTTGAGAGGTATTGGGAGACAGTTGCTGAATGGCAGGCCCAGAGCATGGAGGAGAGCGCTGAGGTCACAGCAAGCCATCTGCACACCCACCCATCACTTGCCCACATTCTCTTCTCACCGGTGGGGTCCAGAAGCCCTTTGGGGAGAGGATGGTCCTTGCTGCTTGCTGCCCCGCTGACGCTGGCGTAGCTCGGCCAGACGCTGCCTCATGCTGATGGTCATCTCAGAGCTCAGGCGCCACACAAATATACAGCTGGGGTAAAGCCACAGAGTTGGGTGAGACAAGGAGGACTCTGAAGGGGGCAACAACATTCGTTCCCCTTATCCATGGCTGGGAAGGAGACCACAGCCACCCTCCAGGTCAGGCATAGCCAAGGGATATCCCTGTTAACCCCAATTCCCAGAGACATCGCTGAGATGAAGAGAGAGGAGGGCAGGGTGCTATGGCACAGTAAGAATCTGTCTCTCAGGGAAGCTGGCTTCTGCTCACCTGTCCCCAGACACAGAGATGAGATGTTTGCAATCATTACTAAATTTCATGCCAGTGACAATCTCTGTGAAGAACAAAGAATATGGTCTATAAACCACCTTCAATTCCCAACCAAGTTCACTCAGTCCCAACATTGGACACAGGGGTTGGCTGCAGGGTAAGAGTAGTAGCTCTGTGGGTCCCAAGAAACTGACAGAAGAGTGAAGTTCCAGGGATAGAACTCACTCAGGTTCTACGCAGGTATCGGCTTCTATTCAGGTATTTAGGATACACTCACCTGAGTGCCCAAACATGGTGGCCACACACTCGCCTGAGGAGAAGTCAAAAATGGAGAGGTTCTTGTCAGAACAGCTGGTGGCAATGTAGATCCCTGAGGGGTCTGTCTGCACCTGAGGAGCAGGATGCACAGCTGGAGGACACAGGAAGTGCCACTCCCTCCCACCTGGTATCACCCTGTCCCCAAGCCCCTGTCCGGTGCCCCCTCCTGGGTCCTTACCTTGATGAGTGTGCCGTCCTCACCCTGTGACCCTTTAAACAGCTTCTTCTGCTTCCCGCTGCTGATGTTAAATATCCTGTAAGAAACACACTCTGTTTCACATGTGGAGGCTGTGAAGGTAGAGCACACCTGGAATGTGGAAAACCCAACATTCACCCCTGGCCTACGCTCTCCGGGGCCACCCCCAGCAGCAAAGGGGCTACCACCTCTTGGGTGAGGCAAAGTACTGTAAATTCAAGGGGGTACAAGGTCCAGGACAGAACAACAGATGTGGGAACTTAGCTGCATGGAGCTGACCCCCTAGGGCAATGAAGGAATGTGGGCAGAGAGTCTGAGGAGGAGACACCCACCGAACATTTCGGTCCTGGCAGCCGATGGCCGTGTACTTCCAGCTGGGCTCCACATCCATGTCATAGAGGGTTGTCTTCCGCACCACGTGGTGTGTCCGTGTGAACTGCACTCCATCTCCAGACTGCAGGAGCGGAGCATGTGGGCAGGCCCACATCCAGATGCCTCACCAGGCCCCAAGAGCCCAACTTGCGCCTCCCTTCACCTCTCGTAACCTCACGCAGGGGAATGGTAGACTCCGCCCTGCCCCTGCCCCTCAGGAAAGCCCTGCGCCCTCACCTTCTGCGCAGTGCGGAAGTAGATGCTCTTGTCTGCTCCACAGCTGATCATGCGGACTTGCCCATCGCTGGCTGTGAAGGAGGGGGCCCCGTTGTTCCCACCGCTCTCACCACATGGGAGCAGCCTGTCTCCCACCTTCCCTCCATATGAACCCCCATCAAGCTACTCTACATGCCAGGGAAAACCAACTAAACTAAACCTCGAAACCCAGGCCCAACCTGGCTGGCTCAAGTCCCTGCACTGAGAGTCTCTGTTCCACCTGTCTTGCCTCCAGCTCCAGGCCTCCCAGCTGCTGTCCAACACTCCCCCACGACCGGCAGACCCTTCTCATGGAGGGGGAGGCAGATGGCAGCAGGGGTGAGGGTGGCAGCATGTGTCTCATTCACCCTGCCCCACCTGCAAACTTGACTGCAGTGATGGCGGATGAGTGCTCGTCCAGGGTCTGCTGTAGGCTGTACTCCCGCCCCGCATCCAGCACGTGGATCAGCCGGTCCCGGCTCGCCGATGCTAGCAGTTTCAGACCTGGGGTTGGAAGAACTCCATCAGCCCATGAGTGCCCTGAACTGCCTTATCTGGGCATGGCAAAGAGCCCTGAGGGAACTGAGCCCCGTACGCCAAGCCGTGTGAACCATGGGGCAAGGACAGAGCTGTCCTCTAAACCAGCAAAGACCCCAGTGATCCAAAGGATTACCGACCCACATCCAAGAGCCAGGACAGATATAAGTGGCACCAGCAGGACTGGGTGAGCCCTGGGCCATTCCGGGCATTCTCCTGACCTGTGTCTGGCTTCGAATACTCCAGGCACAGAATCTCTGAGTCATGGGCCTCCACCTTCAGCATCTCACTCAGGGAATGAAGTTCATGCACCCTGCAGAGATGAGAAGAGGTGGGAAGAGGTCACGGCCAGGCTGCAGGAAGGACTTACGCCCCCTCCTCTGCTACATTTTGTCCCCCTACCTTTTTTCCCTTTTTTGAACTTTCAGGCTTAGAGAAAAGTTGCTCTAAGAATAGAAAGCTTCCATATTTCCCTTGCCCAGCTTTCCCTAACAATAGTGCAATCATCAAAACCAGGAAATTTATCTTGGTACGATACTATTAACTAGAGACCTTACTCAAATTTCACCAGTTTTCCCACTATGTCCTTTTTCTTGACCCCAGATCCTATCCAGAGTCCAAATTGCATTGAGTTGCTTCTCCTTAGACTTCTGTAGTATTTAACAGTCCTTCAGTCTTTCCTGACCTTTCATGATCTGGACGCTTTTGAAGAGTGGTGATTGCTCTGTGGTATGTACCTCAATTTGAGTTTATCAGATGTTTTCTCATACTTATATTGAGTTATGCATTTTTGTTAAGAACACCACAGAAACACTGTCACACCCCTCTTAGTACATCCTATCATAGGCTTCATGATGTTCATAAGGATGTTAATCTTAATCACTTGGTGAAGATGATTTCTGATAGGTTTACTCATTGTAAAGTTATTATCTTTCCTTTGTCAATAAATATTTTGTGGTCCAACATTTTTGAGTCAAACTCTCTCTAAAGTTCTAAATACCTGACTCTGCACCATGAGAGGCAGTCAGTACCCACCCTGGGTCTGCCATTACCTAAGTGTGCCCATACGGTCCCCAGATGCTAGATGCTGTCCATTGGGGCTGACGCACACAGAGCGGATGCCCACACGGGGATCCATCAGGGACGCATCAGCTTTCTCCCCTCCAGGCAGCTCTGTGTCCAGCAGGGCCTGGGTGTTCCCATCCACGTAAATGATTTTAATGAGGTCCTAGCGGAATAGGTTAGAAGAGGCGGATGAGGCAGGCCTGACCAGTACAGCTTCGAGGGGAGAGAAACCTGGGCAAAACCAACCTTTGGACCACAGAACACAGCCAAATGAGGGCTAGAGGGCCAAGATCTAGGGGCCCAGTTCCCAAAATCAAGGTGCAGAAGCTGTGGGGATGGGGGCACTGAGGGTGCAGTGGGGGCCCCACGGCCTCAGGCTCACGTTGCTGAGGATGTTTCGGTGCAGGGTGGAGCCATGCACCCCGGAGCTCTCTGTGTTCCACAGGCGGATGGTGTTGTCTGAGGAGCAGGTAATAAAGGAACTGGGGGGCAGGCAGGCCTGGTTACTGTCCTTCACCTCGGGATAGACCTGAAAGGGCCGAGGGAACAGAAGCAGGCCTCCATTTGGAAGCAGTCCTCTGCCTACCCAAGGAGATGGAAGGGAATGGGATGGAAGAGGGAATGGTAGCCAGAACTCAGCCCAGAGCCTGCCATGGGCCATAATTGGTATATACTCTTCATCATGACCATGGGGAAGCACGTTAACCCAGCACCCACTATCTATCAGCCACTCTTCCATGTCTCCCACTTACATTATTTCACTTTATTCTTACAACAATTAGGTGAATCAAGTATCATTTTACACTGAGGAAGCTGAGGCTTGGTCAAGCTCATTAACTTGTCCAAGATCACTGAGGCAAAACTAAGGATGGGGCCCACTGGGGAAGCCTGTAACATGCAAACTCAGTCTCCAGGATCTATCACAGGGAAGTCACCAGAGAAACAGGAGGCAGTAGGAACATAAGGTTACACTTGGGGATCCCTACTTCCTGTCCTCCGAATGGTATCCCAGCCAACCTGGTCAGTCTGCAGCCAGCCAGCCCACATACCTCCACGCTCCAGACGCAGGAAGAATGATACAGGGCCGAGTACACCTTGCCCACTTTCTTGGGGTCCCTGACATCCCAAACATAAATGCTGTGATCGTTGTACACACAAGACAGCCACTGATTAGCAGGATCATAGGTCAAGGCAATGGTGTCTGGATACTTGGCATTGGCCACTCCAGAGAAGAGGCGACTGTAGGGAAAGGACAGGGCACACGGGTGAGAATGGAGAATGAAACCGGAAGCCAATCCACAATGGAAGGAGTGTTGTGCGAGGAGCCCTCCCGGACCCGCAGGTTTGGAAGTAAGTTGCTTGCGAGTAGGAAGGAGCCCCTACCAGCCATCAGCAGGACCTGGACCCGGCACTAGCTGCTGGGCGTGGTGTTCAGGTGAACACAGTTTCACAGAACACCAATGTTAGACAAGGGAGTTCTATGGCTATGTTGGGGCAAAACAAAAACAAGACTACTCTGTGCACAGATAAAAACAAGATCACCACACAAACCACAGCACTGACCAAACACCACCCTTTCCCATCTACATGACTGCGGCTTCTTTACCAAATACAGCTTTAGCCCCCTACCTTTCCTTCACCTCTTAGATCAGGCGTCCCTAAACTTTTTACACAGGGGGCCAGTTCACTGTCCCTCAGACCGTTGGAGGGCCGCCACATACTGTGCTCCTCTCACTGACCACCAATGAAAGAGGTGCCCCTTCCTGAAGTGCGGCGGGGGGCCGCATGCGGCCCGCGGGCCGTAGTTTGGGGACGCCTGTCTTAGATATTATCTAAATCCCATAAGCCCCTCCCAACACCTACTTACTGAGACTCTCCACAGTTTTCCAAGGTGTGGGGTCTCCTTGGTTGCAACAAGTACCAATAAGCCCAAATTCTTCTGTCTAAAGAGGTGTTCCCAGTCATCTCTGGGTCATCAATACACTCTTCACCTGCTCCCTGAAGCGCTGCCCAGAAAGACTGGGCAGGGGCGAGGCTACGAATGGAGGAAGGGGGCCCATGTAGCTCACCTGGCCTCAGTGACGCTGGCAATGTCTGTCCCCAGAGCATGGGGTCGGGGCAGGGTGGTAAGGAAGTGCAGGTTAGAGGGGTTGAAAAGGCGCACGGTGCCATCAGCACAGCCACAGAAGATGTAGTCCTGGCTCACAGAGATGCAGTGGGCCACTGTGGTCTGCAGGCAGAGCAGCTCAGCTCAGCAAGGCCACCTGCCCACTCCTCAGAGTCTCACCTCCCCGCCCATCAACAGTCACCTGCCAAGAGGAGGGACCGGCCAAGGCAGGGGCAAGGGAAAAACCGCCCAGCTGCTCCGTTCTGAGCCCCTCAGCCCCGTGCAGCCAGGAGACAGGGATCAGGGATTCTTCTAAGGCACCAGAGGATCCAGGAGGAAAAGCCCAGTGAAGAGAAAGAAACAGCATGAGAGAGAGAAGAAGGTGCAGGCACCACTTACTGTGAAGCTGTCTGTGTTCTGAGCAGAAGAGGAAAGCAGGGGAAAGAGAGACAGAAAGAGCAGAGAGGAGGCAGTTACAGAGATCACCAAGGGCTGGAACTGGGCCAAGCTCTAGCTCCCTCAAGCTTCACGCTCCTGGGATTTCATGTATGAATAAGGGCCTAGCCCCTACTCTGAAGCCCGGGGCACTAGTTCTCCCCTGAACTGAGATATGGGCTGACCCTACCCTTGGGGATGGAGGTACTTACCCTCAGCTCCACCCACTTGTCCAAAAGCCTCCGATCACTGAACTCGCACAGCAGCCCTGAGGACGTGATGCAGAAAGTGCTGTCTGCCTTCTTCCCTCTGCCGCAGGCCACATCAGTGAATAGGTTGTTCCGTAGCTCTCCCAGCAGCCCTGAGCGGCCCAGCAGGGGCACAGTGGCATTCACCTGTGGAAGCACACCAGTTATCCCCCACATCCATTCCAGAGCCCGTCCCTGCAAACTAGGCCCCAGGAGAGGATGGGGGACGACCCCAGGCCCCCTTGCTCTTTTAGCCTACTCCTCAGCCCAGACAGCATTTGGCTCATCCAAAACTTCTGCAGGACTGCTGGGGATGCAGAGAGGCCCGGGTGAAGCAGAGCTCCTGGGGAGGGCTGAGCAGGCCCTAGCCAGGGCCCTGGTGGCTACTCCCAGCCTGAGCACCTCACCTTTGAGGTCTTGCTGTCATCGAGATACCAGAATTTGATGTGCCGGTTGCCTGCAGTTACAAAGTAGCTGCAGTCCTCAGAGAAGGACACTGCTGTCACTCGACTGGACACCTTGTTGGAGGCCACCACAATGTTTTTCTGGAGGGGATGCCAAAGGAAAGAATCAAGGCTCTGTCTCTTGGAGCTAAGAAAACAGTGACTCAGAGGATGGAGGAGAGTTCAAACTGGTACTTGAAAAGTGACTTTTTCCCCAGAATTTACTGGCCGGAAAAAGAGGGGTGGGGAAAGAATCCCTTTTAGAGGAGCTAAAAAGATTCGTTTCCTGCAGAAGACCTTGTAAGGTATAAAGCTAGCCCCCTTCTACCAACATGCTTGGCTACGCGGTTGCTCTTTTCTGCTTCAAATCCTTTTCTACAATGAGAAGGGTTCGGTGGGGTGGATGGAGCAGGGCAGGTCAGTCGTCTCTTGCCTCCCCAGCTGACAGTTGACCACGGTGCGGCTGCCAGGCCACCCCACCCAGCCACTCACCTTCCAGGCCCACACGTTGACGATCATGTCATGCTGGTAGCCCACAGAGACAATGTACTTGGCGCTAGGAGAGAAGGCCACACAAGCCACACCATACTTGTGCTCCTGCAGCTCGGCCACCTGGCTACGCTCTGCCACGTCCCAAACCCGCACGGCGGGCATGTGCCCACTCTGCAGGGAGGCAAGAACCGGAAGTGAGTTCTGTGGGTCAAGATGGCCAGGGGGAGACCTATGTTAATTCTAGCTAAATAATTATAAGCTTGCTTGGCTCAGAGTAGACTGAAGTTTATACACTGCACTAAACTGTATTATTAGTCCAGTTAATTAGAAATCAAGTGGCAACAGGAGGCCTAAGGTAAAGACCATGTGAGAGCTCAGTAATACCGGGGAATACAGGGGTGGCTGCAGAGCTGGCAATACTGCTCTGGTCTCACGAATGCCTTCTCAACATGGAGACTGCGTGAGGGTCTCATAAAGAAGGCTTATGCAAAGATCTCTGAGAAGGGAGGCGACCTCTGCTCGCAAGATCCGGGAGGGTCTTTGCAGATGGGAGCTGGCAAGGAGGAGAAAAGCGCTGCAGGGCAGAGATCACAGAAGGCCTCAGGCTCTGCCTAGGTTGTCGGAATGTGGAGTGATTCTGTGTCCTCAAATGCTCAGGAGATAAAAGCCCCTGGATGCATTGGGTGTGGTCAGAGCGGGTGGCTCCTCATCTGCTGTACTTCTGATGCAGCCGCACCCTGATAACAATCGGTGATAAACTCAGAGCACTAGATTAGCATGTCTTAGAAGGATCTCAAGTGCTCTCCAGCAGGCTCTCTTAGATACCCCTGCACCCTCCCCTTCCATGCCCATAAGATCTATGAGATTATGCACATAATAAGTGTTTGGAGCACAGAGATCGGGGGCCAACGGTTCCCACGGTTCCCACGGTTCCCACGCATGCGCTGGTCCCCTGGCCCCACGCTGTACATTCTACTCTTGTGTCTCTGTCCTTATTTCCTTTTCTCAATCCCTCCGGGACTGAGTCACCACCAGGACTACGGGCACCCACGTACAGGGTTGGGGCTGGTACCCAACAACTTCTTGAGTTCTCCACAGGCATACAACACCACCACCCCCACTTAGCCTTCCAGAGCGGGGCCCTTGCCTCCTCAGCTACTGGATACCATCCCTCCCACCTCAACCAAAAATCGAGTGGGGTGCTATACAGGGCAGGGAACACAGGAAATATGATAAACATCTGAGAGCAACACTGATTATCAGGGAGAAAGCGGCCCCAGATTTTACTCAGCATCTCTGGGCAGTCTGTACCTCTGTTTGCTCAAAGCTCCCTGAATGGTTCTGATGGGCAGCCCGCGCTGAGAGCCACTACCACTCAGGTCTATCTCTGCCCCTAGTAAGACTCTGCCGCCGGGACAAAGGCGTTCCTCCTGAGCCCAGCAGGGGGACCCCGGGGATAAGGAATATTTACGGCAGACGTTTCCAAAGCACACTTCCCTGACCAGTGGCAAACAGCACTATCTGGGAACTTGTTACAAATGCAAATTTCGGAGCCCCATCCCACACCTAAGGAATCAGAATCTCTGAGAACTGGCCCAGCGGGGTCTGCTTTCACAAGCCCTCCAGGTCATTCTGATGTACACTAAAGCTTGAGAACCACTGTTTTAAGGTACAGTGAAAACCAGGATTTGTTGTCTGTTTCAGAAGTCAAAGTGACAGCAGGCCTAGGACTGCAGCTCTCCTCTGCTGAGGCGAGGCCAGCCGCCTTCTTTACAGTACTGCCAGCCCTCTTCCTCACTCACCTCTCCAGTGACCAAGTACTTGCCATCAGGGGAGAAGGCAAGGGCCGTGATGGTTTTCCTGTAAGAGATGAGGCAAGTTCAGGGGGGTACTGGCAGCCTGGCCTAAGCCTAGCTCTATCCCAGCCTCTCCAGAGGTGAGACCAGCAGACACCAGTGGCACATGTGGCACTTCTCCATCTGGCCCTAGGGCCCAATCAGGTCCCAGCCCCCAGAGCCACAGAGACTCTAGACAGTGCCCTTCTCACAGCCCCCAGAAGGAAGAGGTATCCCAAGGACCCAGGCCCATTTACCTGGAACTGTTGAGGATGTGGTGCTGTTTGTGTTTCCGGGGATTGAACAACACAACCACACACCTGAGGAGAGGAGCAGACACCAGGCTCAGCACCAAACCACAGCTCCCCAGGAGCCCTCCAGGCCACCCGGGACTTCTGGTCACCCAGCAGAGGCAGCTGGGCAGAGAGAGCTCAGAAGGGCTCTGCTGCTTTTTTTTTTTTCCTTTATTTTTGAGTCAGGGTCTCACTCTGACACCCAGGCCGGAGTGCAGTGGTGCAAACATGGCTCAACGCAGCCTCGACTTTTCAAGCAGTCCTCCCACCTTAGCCTCCCTTGTAGCTGGAACCACAGGCGTGTGCCACCATGCCAGTAATTTTTGTACCTTTTTGTAGAGAGAGGATCTTGCCACATTGCCCAGGCTAGTCTTGAAATCTTGAGCTCAAGTGATCTGCCTCCCAAAGTGCTGGGATTATAGCACAAGCCACCGCACCCAGCCTCCACTGCTTTCTTCTGGCAACCTGTTCTTGCTCCGTTTTTCCATCCAAGAGAGCCTATCTCTGTAGCCCCACAAGGGTGAAAGGGCTCCCTGGAAGCCTGTCCCCACTACCAGGTTCCTAAATGCCAGCTCTATCTTTGGTCATATCCACAAAGGGTAGCAGGGACACAGGCCATCCCACAGCCCTTGTGCATACCTCAGGAAGGGGTGTGGAAGGGAAGAAGAAATGTGATTTGGGCAAAGCAGGCTTCAGGTGTACAGCCTGTATGCAGGCTTGGGGCCATGTGTACATATATCAAGCATGTGTGCCTTAAGATGTAAGGCCTCTTGTTTGCACCCATGTGTGTACTTGGCAAGAGCTGGCCCCCCACACCCTCCATGTGTTGAGTGAGGAAGGAAGTGGGAGGCCAGGCAGGGGGCCACACAGCAGAGAGGCTCAATCAGATAGGGTAGGGGGAGAGAGAGAGCCTGAGAAGGCCCAGGATAGCCTTACAGTGCCACGGAGGTCCCAGGCCCCACCTTGAAAATCCCTGGCCCCGAGAAACCTGAGAAGAGCTCCCCTGACTGCCAGAAGCAGATAATCAAGGACTCTGCCCACCTCGCAGAGAAGGCGGGGGCAACCTTCCCCATCAGGCAGCAAGGCTGCTGGATGGAATCAGGTCCTGCCTTTCCAGAGGCAGCTCCAGAGAGGGAAGCTGGGTAGTAGGAATCAGGGGCAAGAAGCCAAAGGCCAACACCTAGGCGGCTTCTCCTCAGGCTTCTTGGCCATCAGCAGGCCCTGGCCCGTCACCCCTTCCGCCTCACCTCTTCATTAGCACTGAACTAGCAGACAGGAGCAAGCCTAGAGGCTGCAACCAGGAAAAGCGGGGAGGAGGGAAAGGGCAGACAGCTACTTCCCCCAGACCTGACTTTCCCCAGTGGGACCTCACTGCAGCCCCTGTATCTGAACACCACTACTGACTGGAACCTTGAAGGAACCAAGCAGTTCACAAGCTGCTAGTGAATGCTAAGCATCTTGGGCTCAATAAACCACTTCAATATGCAAATTCGGGGACACCGGGACCTCCAATGTGACCAGATACGCCCAGAACTGCCAGGCTGACCAACAGCTGTGGAATTCCTGGTCCACATCATTTTCTCCTCAAATCCGCCAACTCCTCCTCACTATTTTATTTCTCCATTTCCTACTCTTTCCTTGTTCCTGTTTCCTTTTTCCTTTCTTTTTTTTTTTTTTTTTTTTTTGAGACAAAGTCTCACTATGTTGCCCAGGCTGGTCTTGAACTCCTGGGCTCAAGCAATCCTCCTGCCTCATCCTCCCAAGTAGCTGGGATTACAGGCCCATGCCACCCTACTCAGCCCTTCCTTTTTTTTTTTGGAGACAGGGTCTCACTTTGTCACCCAGGCTGGAGTACAGTGGCTCAATATCAGCTCACTGCAACCTCCACCTCCCTCAAGCAATTCTCCTGTCTCAGCCACCCGAGTAGCTGGGATTACAGGCATCCATCACCAAGTCTGGCTACTCTTTTTGTATTTTTAGTAGAGATGGGGTTTCACCATATTGGTCAGGCTTTTCTTGAACTCCTGAACTCAGGTAATCCACCCGCCTTGGCCTCCCAAAGTGTTGAGATTACAGGTGTCAGCCACTGCGCCCAGCCAGATTTATTTAGATTTTAATACTTTATGCAGTGTATAAAAAGTAATACCCCAGGCCCGCCACCATCGTGAATTCAGAGCTCAGAAAGTTCTCAGGGGTTAACCAATGTTTTCTGAACCTTCTTCCAATCTGTGCTGACCTGAGGCCCTCTTCAGGCACATCTCTCCAGCAAAGACTTCTAGTCTGAATGGGTACAAGTTACCTGGCTTTTGGATTCATTACACAGGAACCATGGTAGAGGGCTTCAGCTGAGAGTTTATCTAATTGAATTGACTCAACGCATAAACTAGCCAACCATATTCCAAATCCAGAAAAACTGGGCTCTGTGTGCAATCTTACAAGTTTTGCCATAATTCTCATCCCAAAGCAGCATTTTGGCCTTTAAAGGGCAGTGCATCGGACTGCTTAAAACGCTGTTCATGTCACTGCTTCCAACCTCAGTCTTCCTGGGACACGACATCCGGTCTCCTCCTCCTACGTTCAGCTCCACGGTGGAAAGAGGAGAGTGGATGGAGCGTGCATGTGTGCAGGAACATTATATAGACAGGAGGATGGCTGGCTAGAGGCAATGAGGTGATCTCTCCGTCCTCTAATATCCTGCCTGGTCCCAGGATAGCCTAAGAAATTCTCAGGTGTGGCAGAGAAGAGCTAAGCAAGAAAAGGAGCCACATAGAGGTTGTCGCTTAAGTGAGTACTTTTATTTGGAAGCCATCCAACATGAGAAAGAGAAAGACAGCAAGAGAGAGCCTGAAAGGCCCAAGAAAACCTTACAGTGCCATGGAGGCCCCGGGCCCCACCCTGAGAATCCCTGGCCCCAAGAAACCTGAGAAGAACATCCCCGACTGCCAGAAGCAGACAATCAAGGACTCTGCCCATTTCGCAGAGAAGGCGGAGACAACCTCTCCCACCAGACAGCAAGGTGCTGGATGGAATCAGGTCCTGATTCCACGGTCAAAGCTCCACATGCAGGGATGGTAACATAGATGCTGAAGTGAGAGCGGCATGGCCAAGGTTCCCTGTGTGCCTGGCTTGTTGAGGTCCAACCTGTTCTCAAAAGCAGCAAGGAGCCTTCTCAGCCTTCTTGCTGAACTCTGAGCAAGCTCCTAGATCAGCCAGGGAGAGGAGGGCGGGGCCCGGTTTGTATCAGTCTTTCCCTCTACATCCCCTGACCCTGCCCAGCTGGGTGAGTCCTTCCTGCAGTGCTGGCTGGGATTTCACCACATGCCAAGGGCTGGGTTGGCCCAACCAGCTGAGTCCTACAACTCAGCACCTGAGGGTGCAGAGCGGCTGCTCACTCTCACGGGGAGGGTGTGACCTCAGTCCATCCAGGCCTCAACCTGGGGGAGTCACGTGGTGGAGTACTCGTGCCAGGTGCTGGGCCCACTGCCCAGGAAGGGCCAAGCCTTCAACATCCCCCTTCCCGACACAGGTCTGGGCCTGCTGCTACCACAGAGAGCCCAGGATTCCCACAGGATCCACCTCCTACCACTTTCCATCCCCCGATGGGATGAGCCACGCATGGGGCAGCACAGACAGGGAACAGGACACAGGAGATCCAACCAGAGACCCTGGGCCTTTGAATGTTTTTCTTCCAGACCAGGTAAAGTCTGAGAGTGACTCAGAGAGGCATACCAAAGGGGCTTCCAGCCTCGCTCAAAAGTCGCCCTGTAGCCCTATTTATCATTACAACGCTTCCTGCATCACTGTGACTGCTTATACTGTTTCCAAAGTACACATCAACTGGAAATATTCCATATAACTTAGGCTGGGGGGAGGGGATCTATCTTCAGACCCCAGTCTGCCAGTTCTGTGAGGATGGTATTTCTTTTTTTTTCTTTTTTTTTTTGAGACGGAGTTTTTGCTCTTGTTACCCAGGCTGGAGTGCAATGGCGCGATCTCGGCTCACTGCAACCTCCGCCTCCTGGTTTCAGGCAATTCTCCTGCCTCAGCCTCCTGAGTAGCTGGGATTACAGGCACGTGCCACCATGCCCAGCTGATTTTTTGTATTTTTAGTAGAGACGGGGTTTCACCATGTTGACCAGGCTGGTCTCGATCTCTTGACCTCGTGATCCACCCGCTTCGGCCTCCCAAAGTGCTGGGATTACAGGCTTGAGCCACCGTGCCCGGCGAGGATGGTATTTCTGTTTTACTTACTGTTAAATTCCCAGGGCCTAGAAGATAGGCATTCAGTAAATATTTGTAAATGAGTGAAGATATCTTCAAGTCACTAGCTGCAAGATCTCAAAGCCCTGGCTGCCAAGGAACCTCCTGGGCAGCAGCGTGTGAAGCGGGGCCCCGGGGAGCGGTCCATGGTTCTTCCGTACCTCAGGCATTTAGGACTGCTTGATGCTTGAGGGCAGCGTGGTGGTGGAAAGAGCAGAACATGAGGTCACGGGCCTGTCTGCTCACACACTGCGTGATCCTGGGTACCAAGTCCCAGCCTTTTCTTCTCTCAGGTCCCCGGTCTCTCTACTATCCCTGGCGAGTGCCCTACAGAGAATAAGAAGGCAGCTCTGTGCCCCTTCATTCAGCTCAGGTGTCACTGAATACAGTTCACCAGACGGATTCCGTCACACCCAGGGCAATGCTTTGAAGCTGAGGATCTCAGCATAAATTCTAACATGGGCTGGGTAAATGGAGGGCATTCTCAGGACAGCAGGGTTTCCCTCTTCTCCTCCCCACTTAAAGCAACCAAGAGATCTCTTCTTAGCTGCCAGCTACACCCCATCACCTTGCTAGGACACTTCCCACCTCAGCGGAAGAGGAGCGGCTGTGCGCAGAGCACTCACCAGGCCACTCTGGCATGGGAGCCAGGAGAAACCCATTCTCAGGACTGGCTGACTCCGCATGGGCGCCAGGGGCTGTGCTGGGCTCCAACGTCCGTCAACCTTCCACCAAGCCAGCTGGGGAAAAGGCCCAACTCAACTAATTCTCTCCAAGGGACTGTCTGGCCTCCTCTGGCAGTGGGCTTCCCATGGGGAAACAACAGCCAAGGGCGAACTCCAGGGAAGAGATGCAGGAGGCACTTAGGACAGGCTCCACGCTCGGCCCGGAGTCCTACAGCCCTCTGCCTGACACACTGCCCGCCCTCCTTCCCTATGCTGTTTCATTTCCTTTCAGAAAACTTTGTTTCAGTTTGATATTCGCCTCTGGGCCTCAGAGCATTTTCTGAGTTTTGTTTCTCTTCTTGTTTCTAGGATACCTGAGCTGGCTCCTAGAGCAACAGACACAGGAGGAACCAGAGCACGGGGGCTGGGGGCAGCATTAGGATGATTAGATAGGAAAAGCAGGGAGACGAGGAGGGAGGGAAGAACCTGCTTGTGCTCACGCAGACTCTGGTGGCCCCCAACATCACAGCAGCACATCAGGGAGCTCTAGGACACAGCAAAACTCAAACACACAGCAAGAAGCCATTCACACAGAGGACTTGAAGTTCTAAGAAACCAAAAGTTCAGGGAACAGATTAAGGGCATTGCCCAGGACTGGCCTAAGCCAAGCACACACACTCAGAAAACCTACTAGAGGTTCCATTAGGGAAGCTGCTACACGACCTGGAAGGATAATGACTCCCAGGCACAGGCCTGGGCTGAGACCTGCCCATGAACATGCATAAGCACACGCCCTTGAAGGCCAGGCCTAGAGCCCAGGGGCATGTGAGGAAGAAAGCGGGCAGGACTCCACACTCCCCAGGGCAGGGACACAGGGCTCAGCATGCACCAAGTAGCACCCCAAGGCCTTTTCTGCCCATGCTACATCCAACCCCAGCCCCAACTGCAACAAGACAGAACCTGGCTTTCCCAGGCAGAGGCAAGAACGAGTGGAATTCCCCTGAGGCAGGCTGCACACGCTTATCCAGTAGAGAGGTCTTTCCACCAGCTTGCTGCTCTGGGAGAAAACGGAGGCTCCCACAGCACCCCTACTGCAGCCATTAAATACCAAGGGCCACTCAGGAAAGACACCGACTCTAAACCCAGGGGCAGTCTCCCTGACACAGACTCAGCTGCCCATAAATTGGGCTCTTCTCATTCAAAGGGCAGGTAGGCAGCTTAGAGGAAAAGCAATTGTTAAAAATAAGCAGCAAGTGTGGTCTTCCCCGACCCTGTGACATGTTCACAACCACAGCTCTACAGTCATACTTAGGTTAGAACCCAAATACACACACTAGCTATGTTACCTCAAGCAAAATGCTTAACCTTTTTTGTTTTTTTAAGAGACAGGGTCTCACTGTGTCACCCAAGCCGCAGTGCAGGGGCGTGATCATAGTTCACTGTAGCCTTGACCTCCTGGGCTCAAGTAATCCTCCCGCCTCAGCCTCCCAAGTTGCTAGGACTACAGGCACATGCCACCACACCCAGCTAACTTTTTCATTTTTACTTTTATGTGGAGACAGGGTTCTCACTATGTTGCCCAGGCTGGTTTCAAACTCTTGGTCTCAAGCAATGCCCTCTGCCTTGGCTTCCCAAAGCGCTGGGATTATAGGCATGAGCCACCGCACCAGGTCTGCTTAACCTCTTAGAATCTCAATTTCCTCCTCTGAAATATGGAAGTGATAATAGTACCAACCTCAAAGTGTTGCTCAGAGTATTAAATAATTCATATAAAGTGCTTAAAAAGTGCCTGGGCATAGAATAAGTACAGCCATGCATCACATAACATTTTGGTCAACAGTGAAGGGCATGTATGACAGTGGTCCGGTAAGATTACAATGAAGCTAAAATATTCCCATTACTGAGTGACATCTTGATGATCCTGACCCTGTGTAGTTCTATGTGCTAGGCTAACACGTGTGTTTGTGTCTTTTTTTAAAAAAAAAAAGTTTAAGAAGTTAAAAAAAAAAATGTAAGCTTACAGAGTAAGATATAAGTAAAATACTTCCGGGCCAGGCATGGTAGCTCACACCTGTAATCTCAGCACTTTGGGAGACCAAGGCAGACGGATCACTTGAGGTCAGAAGCTCAAGACCAGCCTGGCCAACATGGCAATAGCCCATCTCTACTAAAAATACAAAAATTAGCTGAGCGTGGTGGTGGGCGCCTGTCTACTAAAAATACAAAAATTAGCTGGGCGTGGTGGTGGGCGCCTGTAATCCCAGCTACTCAGGAGGCTGAGGCAGGAGAATCATTTGAACCCAGGAGACAGAGCTTGCAGTGAGCAAAGATTGTGCCATTGCACTCCAGCCTGGATGACAGAGGGAGACTCTGTCACAGGAAAAAAAAAAAAAAAAAGAAGAAAATACTTTTGTAGAGCTGTACTGTGTTTCTGTTTTACACTAAGTTTTACTACAAGAGTCAAGAAGTCAAAAAATTAATAAGAAAATTACAGTGAGTTAGGTTAATCTATTATTGAAGAAAAAATATGTTCTTAAAATAAATGTAATGTAGCCAAGTGTACAGTGTTTGTAAAGTGTATGGCAATGTTCTGGCCCCTCAAACTCATTCACTACTCACTCACTGACTCACCCAGAACAACTTCCAGTCCTGGAAGCTCCATTCATGTAAGTGCCTTATACGAGTGTGCCTTTTTAAAGAATATTTTATAATGTATTTTTACTGTACTTTTTCTATGTTTAAATATACAAATACCATTGTATTGGGATTATGTACAAGATTCAGAACAGTAACCTGCTATGCAGGTTTGTAGCCGAGGCACAGCCGGCTTCACCATGTAGCCTAGGTGTGTAGCAGGCTCTACTATCCAGGTTTGTGTAAGTGTACTCTAACACGCACACAGCAACAAAACTGGCAAACAAAAACACATTCTTCAGCACATATCCCCATCATTAAGTAACACATGACTGTACTTGATAAAGGCAGCTTTCTTGGTGGTGGTGGCTTGTTTCTTTTGAGACAGTGTCTCCCTTTGTTGCCCAGGCTGGAGTGCAGCGGCGCAATCTCGGCTTACTGCAACCTCCATGTCCTGGGTTCAAGTGATTCTCATGCCTTAGCCTCCAGAGTAGCTGGGACTACCAGTACCTGCCACCACACCCAGCTAATTTTTCGTGTGTTTTTGGTAGAGACAGGGCTTCACCATGTTGGCCAGGCTGGTCTTGAACTCCTGACCTCAAGTGATTTGCCCACCTCGGCCTTCCAAGGTGCTAGGATTACAGGTGCACCCAGCCCAATAAAAGGGAGCTTTTTTGATGGGGTGATAAAACTAAGCAAATCACGTATCTAGTATAAAAACTATAAAAGCTGCTATGAAAATTACATTGGGGAACGAAGTAGGCATTACCAAGCTAATAGCAGAGTAAGAAAGTACAGCAGCGGCCCTTCTCATTTTCACATTCCTGCGCCTACCACCATGGAATAGAGGAAGCCAGAAGCAGGAGGGGTTCTAAGCTTTCTGCAGAAGCCTGAAGAATCTATGGTTGGAGGTTTCCCACTTATAGGAGCAGAGGAGTGAAAAGGCAGCAAGAGAAAGAACAGCAGCCCAGTCTTCTACTTCTCTTCTACGGCACTGATCTCTCTCAAAGTGACTAGAACAGACAAATATTCATAGCAGCATTATTCATAATAGCTAAGAAGCAGAAACAAGCTAAATGTCTATCAACTGAAGAATAGATAAAATGTGGTACATCACAGAAAGGAATAATAAGGTAGTGATACAAGCTACGACATACATTAACCTTGAAAACATTATGCTGGCAGGCATGGTGGCTCACGCTTGTCATCCCAGCACTTTGGGAGGCTGAAGTTGGGGGATTCCTTGAGTCCAGGAGTTTGAGACCAGCCTAGGCGATACAGTTAGACCCTGTCTCTAGAAAAAACGGAAAAATTAGCTGGGCATGGTGGTACACACACATAACCCTAGCTACTCCGGAGGCTAAGGCAGGAGGCTGAAGCAGCAGCCAGTCATGATTGCACCACTGTACTCCAGGCTGGGCAACAGAAAGAAGCCTGTCACTAAAGGCCAAATACAGTGTTATCTGATTCCATTTACGTGAAATATCCAGAACAGGCAAATTAATGGAGACAGATTAGCGGTTGCCTAGGGATGAAGGTCTGGTGAGGTGGGGGTGGGAATGAAGAGTGTCTGATAGGAACAGGGCGAGGTACGGTGGCTCACGCCTGTAATCCCAGCACTTCGGATGGCTGAGGCAGGTGGATGGCTTGAGTTCAGGAGTTTGAGACCAGCCTGGGCAATGTGGTGAAACCCCATCTCTACAAAAAATTAGCTAGGCATGGGGGAGTGCGACCATAGTCCCAGCTACTTGGGAAGCTGAGGTGGGAGGATTGCTTGAGCATGGCGGGGCAGAGGTGCAGTGAGCCGAGATTGAGCCATTGCATTCCAGCCTGGGTGACAGAGCCAGACCCTGTCTCAAAAGAAAAATAAAGGAACAGAGTCATGAAAATATTCTAAATTTGACTGTGGTGATGGTTGCACAACTCTGTGAATACACTAAAAACTACTGAATTGGACATTTTAAATGAGTGAGTTATACAGTATATGAATTACATCTCAATAAAGCTGTTTTTTAAATGACTGGAAGGTAGTTATTGAAAGTGATGCTGGGACCTGTGTATAACATAAAGTGTAAATCTGTGTGTGGGAGGCGGGGTAGATAACCAAAAAGCACGACAGGATGGCAATAATGACAGCACCCGACAAAGAGCTTTTACCTGGACCTGCATCTCTTTACAAAAATGGCACCAACACATTAACCTGGATGTATCTCCCAGAAGATATGAGAAAAGCCCTGCCCACTCCAGCTGGTCTGGCGTGGCTATAAATTCCCACACAACAAGATCTCTTCCAAGGAACTTACCCTGCTGGGTAGGCAACTAAACCTGATCGGGGGTCACAGGCAAGTCCTCTGCCTCCAGACACTGTAATTCCCAGCACCTTCTCCAAGGTCACCTGTTAGAGCAAGACAGAAGTGACATGTTATAGACAGAGTGTTTTGCGGAAGAAGGTGCTAAAAGTACCTGGGACCATCCTGAGGCACTGGCTACTTTCCAGATGCCCATGTCTTCAGGAGAACAGAGCTATGACTTCTGTAGCTTCTTCTCTTCTGGCCACTGGGCTTGTTGATCACATGGGAAAAACCCAATGTGCATCACCTATTTTTAGCAGGGTACCGTGTGCTGGTACCACAGGAAAGAAAACCAACTCGTTAAAGCACAACTCATGGCCATAGAGGAACAAGGATTCCCCCAAACCAGGAAGGCACCGTGTATAAGCTTGAGCCTGGAGTCCCCAGACTAGACGGTCTGTGAGACTCAGGGGAGGCCACTGATATTCGTGCTTTGGCAGGCATGAAGGAAAGGCCATTCTGACTTACCAAGAGCCAAAAGAATGTTAGGTATCAATTAGGTGACTCATAATATCCTCGACCTTTGCATTCTATCATGTTCTTCCCCTCCATCAGAGGGCTCTGCCTCCCAAATGTTTGCCAGTTGATACAGACTACAATCCAAGGAGGCAGAAACATGGCTTAGTGCTGTGTTCTACAAAGCACCGATGCTCAGGGTACTCTAATTATTATTATTAAGGCGCAACTCCCACAGAGATAAAAGGGAAACGTGTAAAATGCTCAGAGATTCTGAGACAACATGGCCACGGGAGACACGCATCACTCTCATCATTAGTATTGTTACCCCACACTGTCTGCAGGCCCCAGGACCCAATCGAACTAGCCTCAGATTAATTCACTGGTCTTTATGCTAGACGATGCCGGGTGAGATTGAGACTTCCCTCTAACCTCTTGCTGTCACTCAACATCATCGTCTGCTCCAGGTCTTTCACTTGCTGCTCCAGGTCTTTACCTGCTCCAGGCCTGTGCAGTCCTTGCACTGGCCCTGCTCAGGAATGCCCCTGGTCTCCCCTAGGTCAGAGAGTGGGGCTTCAGAATGCAGGACGGACATGTGAACAGGGTAACTCTGCTATGAAAACACCAACCCTGAGGACAGTCTCGGAGGTCCTAGGAGGGCAATGTAAACCAAAAACACTTAGGACGGATGCTTGTGGCAGGGGGTCTACTCCTAGTCCAAGTCAGCGTCTAGAGAAGGGGGGCTCAGAATCAATTAGGACAGTTTTGGAGTTTCTCCTCCTCTTTTACTATTCCAAACGCAGAATTAAAAGTACTCCTAGAGGGGCCGGGTGCAATGGCTCACGCCTGTAATCCCAGCACTTTGGGAGGCCAAGCTGGGCAGATCATCTGAGGTCAGAAGTTTGAGACCACCCTGGCCAACATAGTGAAACCTGTCTCTACTAAAAATACAAAAATTGGCCGGGTGTGGTGATGGGCGCCTGTAATCCTCAGCTACTCAGGAGGCTGAGGCACAAGAATCACTTGAAACTGGGAGGTGGAGGTTGCAATGAGCCAAGATCACGTGGCTGCACTCCAGCCTGTGTGACAGAGTGACTCTTTGTCTCAAAAAAAAAAAAAAAAAAAAAAAAGTACTCCTAGAGGACCTCTTTAAATTCTTATCTCTGAAGATCATTTTAGCTTGAATTAGGTTAGCCCCGTGGTGGCCAAAGACCAAAGTAAGTCTCCTGAGATGCTACATTTAAAACCTATTCCCCAGAAAGGTCCCCAAGGGTATCTGTGTATCTTGGGGATGCAGACAGGGAGTTCTAACGTGTGTCTGCTCACGGGTAGATGTGGTTTCAATGCAGGGCAGCAACCCACAGCCACCTGGCAAGCACCAAACTTGCCAATTACCCTTGCGCCAATCTGAGGCACTAAATCTAGTGTGGAATAAAATAACTTTGGCCTTCTCTGTACATTCTTGATAGGTTACTCTAACTTATGCCTGCTCTACTTTTTCTCAGCTTAATGACCCACTGGCACGCAGTCACCTATTACTGACTAGAGAGCAACAAAACCCTCCTGGGGAAGTCTAGGGGATACTCAGTTCAAGCCACCACGTCATCCTGGCCCTGCACCTTCAACTCTTCCAGAGGAAGGGATATTCAGGGACATTCCTGCCACACCCACTGCTTCTGCAGACAGGAAAGAGAAGGGCCTCAGGCTGGCATGACCCACACAGCTAGGAGAGGCCAGAAAATCAAGGGTAGTGAGCTAAAGGGCTGCTCGACTCCTATTTTCTCCTGCTAATCTGATTTAAGGTAAATCCTTCGGATTCAAATTTGCATTGATCCCTTCCCTCCCTCATGCTTCAGTGTTGGTCCCCAAGAATTATAACGAGTCAGTTGGTTCTCAGCTGATCTTCTTTCTAAAAGGCATTTGAGTAGGTGTTTTGTGGGCAGATGATCCAATTCCAAAGAGAATTAATTCTCTGAAGCAATCTAAAGCAAGAAGGAGACATGGCCTACTAACACTCTAGAGACCAGTGTTTATCAAAGTTTTTGCACATGACCTACAGTAAGAAACACATTTTATATCATGACCTGGTATATAGAGACATGTGTGCATGTGCATACAACTGAAGGTTTCACAAAACAATATCCTATTGCATGTCATATACTGTATTTTTTATTCCATTTCATTAAAAAATAATCCTGGTCATGGCCCACTTTACTGAGTTCATGACCTACAAATGGGCTGGAAGTTCTAGTCCGGGACACCCTGCTATAGAACATCTCTCTCTGCCAGGCCCGGGTGACAGGCCCCGATCACCGGCACATTTGTGCTCCTGAGTCATTTTCCTCCTAGGACTCAGAGCGGTAGAACGCACTTCCACACTAGGAAAACCCCACAGGCAGAAGTTTGCCTGGGCTCAAAACTTGGCTTATTTTCAAAGGATTTATGTTTTTTGGCTTTTTCTGGTTTCTAAGCAGCTATCCAAGGGGGAAAAAAAGCAGTTTCCTTTGGCTCTGTGGAAGGGAGGAGCAGGGGAAAACAGTCACGGGCATCAGCTGGTTTTTATTTTATGTTCTTAACTCAAACCAGTTTCCTGTTTGCAGGGAGGTTTTGGGCTGAGCTCGACTTTCAAAGGATCTAAGAGTCCAGAGTTCCTGCAAGGCCTCTAACATCTAGGCTTATTTTGCAAGGCTTCAACATGATGGACTGCATAAACTGACTCTCTCCCTCTGATAACTTGCTTCCTAGCCTCCTTTCCAAGAAGGTGGTAGAGCTTCCCCCTGCCTTAGAAAATGGAGACAAACTTAACATCCATTTGCCAAAGACAGTAAAAAAAAAAAAGAAAAAGAAAAAGAAAGAAAGAAAGAAAAAGAAAATGGAGACGAACTTCAGCATCCCCTGCAAACACACCCCAGGTTCAATGCATTCAGGTTCAATCAGTGCTGTGCCGGAGCTGGCTTGCACCAACTCATGAATACTGACTCTGCAAAACTTTTCCCACATTCAGAGCTAGCACAAGAGTGGCCCCGAAATCACCGCCACACGACGACATACACCATGGAAATCAGCAGAGGCTCACAAATCTTAAAAATCACAGTTTTTTCCTCTCACAGAGCCTGTAAGTATTTGGCAGCATGCCACTTAGTTCAAGTCACTCTTATCTCTCACTTGGGCTATAACACCCACATGCTCTCCCTGCTTCAGGCCTTACTCCCTACAGTCTTTTCTCCACATGTTGGGTCACAGGGATTCTTTTAAAATATAAATGAGACCATGTCATCATTGTGCCCCAAACCCATTTAAGGCTTCTCATCTCCCTTAAATTCAAATCCAAAGACTCTACCCAGGTTTACAAGGCCCTAAAGCCTTGGGCCTCTGGCTACCTCTCTGACCTCATTTCCTATACCCCCCACTTCACTCACTTACTCCATGCCAGCCAGCTCACCAACTTTAAGCACCTTAGGCAGATTCTAGCCTCTTGTCCTTTGCATATGCTATTTCTTAGACTAAAAGGCTCTTCTCTCAGCTGCGCACAGAGGTAATTTCCTGAGGTCTTTGCTCAAAGGTCTCTTCCTCAGAGAGGGCCTTCCAGACTAGCTTTACTGCCATAATTCTATACCCAACTTACCCCAGCATTATTTTTCTTCATAGGTCACAGAGGCAGGTAGCAACTCAATATTGGTGATATCTCTGTCCCTGCTCTTACTGCCTGTCTGTCCCATCAGAATGTGAGCTCCTTGAGGACAGGATGTAGGTTGCTATCCTCCTATGGATGTAGCCCCAGCACTTTAAACAGTCTCTGGCACACAATGGGCACTTGATACATATTTAAGGAATAAATGAATGCCTTGCAGAGGTTTCAGAAACAGTGAAAGACCAGGAAAACTGGGGTGTTTCTGGCCAATACAGTTGTTCCCCATAAAGTATCTAAAACTGGTTGTGATAGTAGCTATGAGCAGCTGAGGACAAGCAGAAAGGGCAGTATGGTACAGGTAACCTTTTGCTTCTTAAGCTGATGGTAGGCACACACACTTGCTTATTATTCCATGTCTTTATTTTATGTCTTAAATACTGTGCAGCAAATATTAAAAAGAGAGAAAAGGTATAGTCAAAGATGTGGTATGAGGCTTAGGACCTTATGAGCAACATCCTTCTATAACTCACATCCCCACTTCTCCCTCTAGCCTCAAGCCATTTCGTTGACACTCATTGACCTGGCAATGTGAAGGGAAAGGGTATGAAGAACTCAAAAATCTGGGGGTGGGGTGGGGGATGGGGTTTTGAGACAAGTCTCACTCTGTCACCCAGGCTGGAGTGCAGTGGGGCAATCTCAGCTCACTGCAACCTCCGCCTCCCAGATTCAAGCAATTCTCCTGCCTCAGCCTCCCAAGTAGCTGGGATTACAGGTGCCCTCCACTGCACTTGGCTAATTTTTCTATTTTTAGTGGGGAGATGAGGTTTCACATGTTGGCCAGGCTGGTCTCAAACTCCTGATCTCAAGCAATCCACCCGCCTTGGCCTCCCAAAGTGCTGGGATTAACAGGCATTAGCCACCGTATCCAGCCAAAAATCTGTGCTTTCAGTTTCTCAC